TTACCTCCGTACCGGATGAGTCCACTTAATCCCTATCGGCGTCCCAGATAGGTCCACTTATACCTCACCGGCGAACCGGATGAGTCCACTTGCATACTTAAATTATTTCTAAATCTCTTTAAACATTCGAAAGCAGCAACATCATGTACTCAACATATCACTGAAATCATTAATATGAATTTCACTTAAACCATTAATAACAGTCACTCTCTATAACATTTCAAAAATAACCAATCAAATATTTTGGGCTCAAATTTAGAAAGGTAGCAGTTTGTAAAAGGTATTCTAGCATAATTGCTTATTTAATATGTATAGAAAAACTCTTAAAGAAATTCAAGAATACGGAATTATCACAATTTATCGGATATCAGTCCACAAATAAACATTTCACAACAATACTATAATCAATTGCAAAAATGTCAATTTTTAAATAATAAGGCATTCATTTGCACATGAATTTTATAATGTCTAAATATTCATTTGCACATGAATTTTACAATGTCTAACATAGATAAAATATCATAATTTTTATTAAAAAGATTATTTTTCAAGATAATGAGGTCACGTGCGCATAAAATTTATCACGCGTAAAATTCATGATAATAAGCAGAAATAATTATTTCATTTCATTTTTAAAAAGAATATATTATTTTTCGAGACAATGAGGTCACCTACACACAAAACTTATAAAATAAAGATCCTGGACGGAAATATCACTATTTATTAAAAACAAACTATTTTTCAGGAAGATGATGTCACTTACACACAAATATTTGAGAGGGAGCTTCCGATAAAAATTCAGCTCGAGAGAGGAGTTCACTGTGTTTCGACCAAAGAGAAAAATCTCATAACTTTTCTAAGATAGGAGTCTTCACCTCTCTGAATTTAAATTCTACTAACATATTATTTTATTCTTTCATTACGTTACAGGTGTGAGCGTTAGTTTACGCTTTAAACACCTAAAGCTTTTATTACGTTACAGGTGTGAGCGTTAGTTTACGCTTTAAACACCTAAAGCCCACGTCCTTTAGTGGACGTTAGTTTACGCTTTAAACACCTAAAGCCAACGTCCTTTAGTGGACGTGGCAAGAGCAAGGAAACACAAAGCTTTTAAAACAAAAGCTTTTAAAAGTAACGATGGTTCCTAATGGCCATCATGTTCAAACGAATTGTCATGTATTAATAGGCTCTTTTTTTTTTTTTTTTTGAAAGTTTAGGATTGTTACAGGAGGATAGAACTTTTATGTTGTAAGGAGAACATAGAAAGCTTTCCTTTTTAATGTCTAATCTACATCCTCTAAATATAAAACAAATAATGTAGATTATTGCAACCATCTTTTTATAAATAAGGTTGCGACCTTATACTAACTTTTTCCATTAGGGAGATATGGATGAATTAGAGACAGAAAAGAGTTGTAGTTTTAGACACCCAGTAGTTTAACTTTCAAAATGTGAAAATCATGTTTTTTTTTTTTTTTAAAAACAAAAAAAACCTTAAAAAGTTGATCTTCTAAGAAAGTTTTGAGCAAACATGAAAAAGTTTCTTAACCTTATATTTAAAAGTGAGATACCTTAGAAATCTATTAAAAAAAAAGGCATTTTGATATTGAAAAATCTACCAATTGATCATTTTGACCTCAAAAAGTCTGGATATGAAAAATAATGATTTCTAAGTATTAAAAATAATAGATATTGTGGTACTAGACTATTCAAGATAGTCATGGACTAGACTATTCAAGATAGTCATGGACATGTTTGATCCCCTCCATTTTTGAAGCCTTAAATTTCATAACTGAGTTGTCAATAGATTTTGAGCCTATTATAAGGATTATTGACATTGAAATTGCATCTTTTGGCAGAGTTTGTACGTGTGGCTTACTTTGATTATTTAAAATGGATGTCTTATATAAATTACATACAAATATAAATAGATATTACAAAAATAAAATCAAACTTATGTTATACTGATATAAATAAAAGAAGTCACAACTATAGGAGAATTACATGAACACGAATATAGATATAAAACAAAAGAAGAAAATAACAAGCTTTTTACCAGGGGTTAAAAATATGGATAACAAATAACTAACCTTTTATAAATTAGAAATCGAATAGAAGGTAAATCTACTTTTTAAAGGAAAAAATTTAGCGAAAATTACACAAAAAAAAAAAAAAAACCAAAAGGTGCACTTTTTATGCAATTTACTGTCCATCTAACTTTTTTTCTCACTTTTTTCTCCAAAATATACTTTTTATGCAAAAACCTCAACAAAATAAAAAATAAAAAAATGCCTAAACTACCTTCCCTTATTGTTGCCTTCCCCACGCTTCTCTCTCCTCCATCCCATCAAAATAGGGGCTCCGCCACCGTGTAAGTGCGGTTTCGCAGTAGCGCTTCGGCACTGTGTAAAGTTCGGTTCAGCTTCGACACTATGTAAAATGCGGTCCGGTAGTAGGGCTTCGGCATTATGTAAAATGCGATCCGGCAATTGCAATTTGACAGTTGCAAAGGGTGGTTCAATAATTACAAAGGGCGGTCCGGCACTTGTGTGCTTCGGCAATATGATGGTACGAAGTGTACGTGAATGACATTTCTATCTAAAAAATGAACGACAATACTATCTAAAAAATGAACTTTTTCCCTTTGGGGGTATTTGCATAAAAAGTTTATTTTGGGAAAAAAAAGTAAGAAAAAAAATTAAATTGGGGTAAGTTACATAGAAATTGTGGTTTTAGGGTTTTTTATAATTTTTCCAAATAAGGGTGAGGCCTAAGCAATCAAATTAATGAGCACCTCAAAATTCATTGGAAGGGACTTTTTTATGCTAAAAAACCCTCGATTCTATCATCTCTCTACCTCAAGATGTATAGACATGAGAAAAAAAAGATTTGAAATATTGAAGACAGAGTAATGACACTATGAGATCCTCCCACACCTATATGAGGAAGACCCTAAAGGCTCACTATTAAATTTTAACACAGATTTCTAAAAAAATTATTGTGAAAATTTAATGATGATCATTTAGGGTGGGAGGGTTTCATAGTATCATTACTCTCGAAAAACAATGCATCTTGTGATGTATTATCTATATCATCCATTTTTTAAGTTTTTATAGATTTGTTGGATCTACACTATTCTTAAATCTTTGAATTTTATAATTAAAGTTGAAAACAAATTTTTTTGGCCATCATAAATATTTGTTGTACTCATCATATTTCGGTACCATTTGAGAGTGCGCCTTACTAGGATTGCCTTTTTTTTTTCAGAACCACACCCCGTTTTTAAAACATAAAACTATGGATTTTATCGTGATTCCTCGTAGGAACATTTAGGCAGAATCCAGAACTTATATTTCTGAGAAAAATTTAGATTTACAGAAGTCAAAAGATTTAGATTTCAAGAAGACCTGGATTTGAGTCAAAGCCGGGACTCTACCCTAAGTGTGATCCTCTGTTATTTTTGCTTTCAAAACTCCTTTTTGGTTCTTCAGGGATTCCCAGTGCATGTGATCAATGAAATGGCTAGAACTCTTTACGGCAGCGCAAAGTGGTTATAAATGTCAACATCTCTGATTCACCATGACTACTAATTCTTATTGGTCTTTGCATTGAGCTCCTGCTTTACTGTAAGTATTATCTGTTTCTTTCATCAAGAGATAAAAACTTCAGCATATTTTTGAAGCCTAATTTTTTATGAATTTTAGTATGCTCAAAATAATGGTTCTTATGTAGAAAGTGCTTGTGGTTTTGTTTTAAAATTACATGGTTTAAATCCTCAAGAAACATCCAGGGCAAGATTAATGCCTTGGTTTTAAAAAATCGACCGAAATAGTTGTACCAAACAGCGAAAACTGGTTTGCGTGCCACTATAATTTGTAGTTTTTTATGGTGAATTACAGGGATGAGAGAGAAATTGGGTTTTTGGGTTGTAAGCTATTTGTTTATTGTAATACCTTTTGTGAGATTTTAATTACATATATTTATATAACTGTCTAAACAAGGCAAAAAAAGAAAAGAAAGAGACGAAGAGTTATTTGAAGTAATCAGTTGGAATGTGAGGTTCGTGAATAACATTTATTCTATACTCTTTTAGTTTGTGTCTTTATTTCTATGTTATTATTAGTTTTTTCATTCTCTGGTAATGAAGTGACATTCTTACACTAATTTAAAAAAATTACTTAAAATTAAGTGTTGTTAAATGATTTCTCTGTTAATGTTTCAATAATGTAATGACCGCCATTAAGTTGGTTTTGTTCTAGTTACTGTAAGAACCAGGTGGCTTTTGCTTTTTGTTATTGGAGAATATGATTTTGTTTCTATGAACTTAGCCATTTTTTATCATCAACAGAAAAAACAATATGTGCATCTTTTTATTTTTCATGGTACATTTGAGCGGCATTTTGACACATCCTTTTTTAGATAATTATTTGCTTCTCAAATCAAGGAATCCTGTTTCAGCGCTCTTTTAGTCTTACTCAAGAAATCTTCATCCCTTCTGTTAGGGACTTCATTTAGTTCCTGGTTTGTTCTTAAACCCTAGCAGATAATTGTCTCATATTTGTACATGGTCGTTTTTAAGAATTTTCATCTTAGTGCTAAATTTGTATTTTGCATATTAACTCAAGCCATGCATAATTGTATCCATGTCTAATTTTTCAGGAATTTCAACCTGGAATCTTATTGTTTAGGTTACTCGTGATTCTCTCAGGCTCAAGCGTCATGTATGGTGGTGGTGAGTGTAATTGCCATGTGCTAGTGATCCTCTGCAAATTTTCACTATAAAAATCACATGGGTGAATGGAAAATTTGTAGAGGAAAGTGCACTAAAGTAGTTTAAATTTGACAAAACTTATCACTTGAAGTGGTGATTTGACTGAAGCAGTGATCTTTTGCATTTTTAGCTATTCTGATACTTATAGATGTTGCTTCTATAACTTCGAGCATAACATCTCATGCCAAATGGGAATTGGGCTTGGATCAAGGTGGTAGCAGCTGGGTTTTTATAACACTACATAGTTCCATTCCTATGTAACCTTGTCAAAAAAAAAAAAAAAATCTCATGCCAAAAAGCCACATGAAAATTAACCAATGCTCCTGAAGAACTGTCAATCTGTTAACTGCCAATAAGTTCTATGCCGATACTTAAAATACTTGAAGTATTAGCTGGCTATCTTCTTAGGTTGCGTTACGTTCATAGGTGCACCTTATATAGCTCTCAATGCTTGAATAAAATTCTGCTTTATGGTCTCCCAGTCATTTTGTAGAATACATAATTGTATGCTAATGAATTTTGAGAGTATGAGATGTACAAGAAGTTGTTCTAGCAGTTTCTTTTTCCTGAAAGATTTATTTGAACTCTAAGACAGTTGTTCTGGTATTTGCTTTGCACTAGAGATGGGTGGCCTTTGTTTTCGAGAGTGCTAGTAGTTTGGGCACATGTAATACTCTGGTTCAGTTGGTAACTTTGGTAGAAGGTTCCAAGAGTATAATAATTTTCTTGTGGAGTGCAAGATTTGTAAAATAATGCACATGATCTTCTCTCTTTTATGAAAGGCTCCTTCGAAGAGCCTCCTAATGTTCCTGTGCTCCCATAAGATCCTTTGAGAGTGTCGTTTGTTAAAACATGGCTGTCATATAATTCTGCTCTTTAAAAGCACTACTTCTAGTATATGATTGTTTCAAGCTTGTTACATGTCTTCTAGAATTCTTTGTCGGGGCATTGGTTTGAGTCTTCAGAACACTGCCTGCTTTGTCTGAGGCAGGGTACTGAGTTACTGGAGTGATGCATTTTGGTTTTAGATTGCTTAATAGTTTCTAAGCAGCATATATCATTAAACATACATCATGGCTATGTCAAGTTCCTAATGTATCTCATTTTCTCTTAATAATTCTGATAGTTTAAAATTTGAATGATTGGACTTCCATATCTATCATATTGTTTAGCTATATTGGTTTTTGTTGTCTGTAGATGAAGTCTCGGCCATAGTGTTGGACTTGGGGTCTCACACATGCAAAGCAGGTTATGCTGGTGAAGATGCTCCTAAGGCAGTCTTTCCATCTGTAAGTATCTAACAATGTTAGCATTAGTTTCCAAGGAGTGATATTTTATATTTAGTTGCATATGGATGAAAACAATTCTCATGATGTAAGTTATCTCTTGGTCATTGGGCTTTCTTTTGATGGTGTTTAATATGATACTGCATTATGTTTTAGCAGCATCAAGAGAGTAAATATGCATTTTTTTGAAAGAAATCCTTTTAATCTCCTCAATAATTGAGTAATTGGATGCCTGTGCCAAATCACGCGGGATGCACTATTTGATGCTAGAACTGGAAAAGACTATTTGACGCTAGAACTGGAAAGGGTGTAGCTATGACATAAAGCTTAACCTCTCTATGCAGGAAGCTATCGGCTTCTCCATTCTGAGATCCTTTAACATGAAGTACCATGTAGTAAATTTGACAGAGCAACTAAATTATTTTATGGCCCAAAAAGTAAGTTCTTGATGTCAGGCATGGGAAGAAGATTGAAATTTTTTTTTTTTTTTTTTTTTAAATAGGTGAGTTTTCAATATGGGAAGTAGGGAGAGGCTAACTTCCTCTAATGAAATCTTATCTCAAACGAGTTCTGTAACATTGATGTTATTGGTTATGTGATTTGTTGCATCAGTCAGTATACCAATGAGGCGATAAGGATTGGCTGAAGAAGCAATCTTAGGGAAGCAAGCATATTGGAGAAAACATCCACCCATAAGGGTAATTGAACTGGTTATAGCAGTTGAGGGCTGTACCATTTGGTTTGTTGTGAAATCTTATGCAGGTTACGGTATGTTGGAGCTGATTAAAGAGTATGTCACTTGGTTTTGCTAGAGAAGAGGCACTAGCGCTCATTGGGGACCTTCTCTGGCCTTCTGTTTTACTTTTTGTCTTCTTCAATCCTATTTGTGCTCCTCTATTTCTAGATAATGCCTTTTCAAGGTCATTGTCAACATTTATGAAGAATATTGAAGATATTCATACGGCAAAATAACTTCCAATTCTTCAGTTTGCGATTTATCATTTGATGGGTTTATATTAATAGGCCTAAAAATGGAATCTTGCCTTGTTTTGGGTTATCTACCATGTGTCTTTGAATTTTTTTGGGTTATGTACAAAAGACAATGTTGCATGATCTGTATTGATGCAAGAAATATGCTGTATTAAAGGTTGTAGGATCCATCGAACAATCGGGGTTAGATGATGCACTCAAGGTTGAAAAGGAATCTGAATCCGTTTCTGAAGCTAAAAACGGTATCAAGACTTCAGATTCTGATAAATCTAAGGCAAAGCGTAAATTATATGTGGGTTCTCAAGCCCTTGGATATCGCAGGGACTATATGGAGGTCAGGCAGTTTTCTCAAAATGGTTGTGATGTTTTACAATGATTTGGCTTTTTTGTGGTCTTCTGATAATTTAAAAGATTTGCCTTTCTTAATGTGTTGGTCTTGATATTTGATGCAGGTGCTTTCACCCATAAAAGATGGACTAGTTGTGGATTGGGACATGGTAGACAACATATGGGACCATGCTTTTCGGTAACTGACATAATTGTCAATTATCTGTCCTTTATCAGTCCTTTTTACATGCTTTTAATTTTCCTCGTCTTTCAGCTGTAGTTGATGTGCTTTTCATGCTCATGGTGTTTGCTGATTCCAAAATATGCTATAATTTTTCGTCAATCATTGTTTTTATGCATATGGATATATGTGAGAATTATATTTGCAAATCCTACCTCGGTGGTATTTGCTGATTGCGAGATATGCCTTAGTTTTAGGTCAACATTTTTTTTATGCATATGGTTATGATGTGGGAAATTAGATTTGCAAATACTTCCTTGGCTAGGTTTAGTCCTGCTCCTTCAAGTCATCCATATTAAAATTTGTTTTTTTTTTTTGGGGGGTGGGGGGATGCGGGGGGAATGAAACGAAAAGAGTAGGAGGAAGGGAGAGTGATGTGAGAGTCCAAATTGGTCTCATGCACCTCTGAATATTAATAACACTAGACAAAGGCTAAAACTATCCATACAAACTGGAAATAGGACATATAGGTCCTATTAACTTAAAATAAAAGAGAAAGAAGGACTTCTAGTGCTCCCCCTCTGGCTGGAGCATAATGTCACCCATCCCCAGCTTGGAATAAATTATTTGAAACAGATTATGGTCAAGAGCTTGAAAAAGGTGTCTGCCAACTGATCATTAGATTTCACGTATAGAGTGAAAACCTGTTTGCTAGTGACCTTCTCTCGAGTAAAATGAGTCTGCTTTGATATTTTTAGCTCTCACATGAAACACTGGGTTGTTGCTTATATAAGTTGCAACGTAATTATCACAATATATCTTCATCGGTATCTTCGGCCACATCAATTTACATGCAGTATGTGCCGTTGCTTTATATTCAGCCTCATTACGGGATCTAGCCATAACATTTATTTTCTTACTTCTCTATGTTAGTAGATATTCACCAATAAATGTACAGTAACATGTGGTAGACCGCTGCCTGTCAGATGGAGAACTTGCCCAATCAGCATCTGAGTAACTCTCAATGGTTAAATGATTATTTGACTTGTAAATCAGACGACTACCTGGAGCTTCCCTCAGAGACCTCAAAATTCTACGAACAATATCTCTGTGAGGGATCCTTGGAGAGTGCATAAAACAACTCCTGCACTTATTTAAAAAACAATATCAGGCCTAGTAATGATTGGATAAATCAGCCTGCCTATAAGTCTTATGTGCTTTCCTAGATTCTGAACAACTCCCCGTTATCAACAAATAATTTTGTATTTGAAACCACAGTAGTATCAACTAGTTTAGCCCCTAAGATTCTAGTCTCTATCAACAAATCAGTCACGTATTTTCTTTGTGACAAGCTAATGTCATGTTTTGATCCGGTTACTTCGATTCCTAAAAAATTACCTTAGCTTAGCTCAAATCCTTTCTGTTAGGTGCCTCTTCGAATGACTGATTCCTTTTTTATTATTGCCTATCGATATCATCAATGTATACAACTAAGACAATTATCATGGAGTCCTGTTTCCAGATAAGCACTTAAGCACTTAATGGTCTGCATGGCCACTTCGAAATCCATATGCCATAGCAATTTTACTAAAATTTGCAAACCATGTACGTGAGGACTGCTTATCCGTAAATGGCTTTATTTAGCTTACATACCTTCTTTGACTCTCCTTGAGCAACAAACCTAGGTGGTTGCTCCATATACACCTCCTCTTATAAGTCACCATGAAGGAAGGCATTCTTGACATCAAGCTGCCAAAATAGCCAGCCCTTGTTTCTTGCTACAGACATATTCAGAGCAATCAATGCAAACTGTCAGAGAACTGGCCAGAACTGGCTGGTTCATGGGGGGAATTGATAGGTTCCCGATATTTTACGGGACCCGGATTGGCTTGACCAGTTCCCGATCCAAATTGGCTGGTTCTGATCTGGAAACCTTTCTCTCATCGACTCTTCATATCTATTATCAAACTCACGAGGCTTGTCCTTTGTGAAGTTTTTCAATTTCCCCCTAGCACCAAGGGATACTTTAACAGACCAAGTCCATACAACATAATAGGACGGATGCAATTTTACTGAAGTAATTTGTATCCCCACATGTTCAGAAGACTGAAGGTTCCGGTTTAATTTCATTAGCAATGAATGTATGAAATGAAAGATAAAGTGTCCAACTAGGCTCAACCAAATACAATTACTCAAATCAAGCCTAGTAGAATTCTAGGAACAAAATTTTTTTATATTAAAAAAAAGGGAGAAGTACTTATCATTATGATCTGAGCATAGCCACTTTCTCACACTTAAAAAAACTACAACAACACCATATTATCTAGATCTGAGCATCACCACGCTGCCACTCTTGAGTAGACCGGGGCAGCACCTATCCAATCGAAAAACTTGGGTTTTTTTGAGATAGAACTTCTGTGAATTATCCGTGTTTGCCTACATACCTTGATCTTTAAAGAGGAATCACACGAACAACAACATCACCATATGAAACACAGAGCCATATGGGTTTCTGCGACACAAAAAAAAAAAGAAAACTAGGAAACAACCCTGGGGTCTAGATCGAATAATCCTAGGAAGTAAGACCCTTTTTTTGTCAGGGTAGGAAAGAAAATCAAGAGGGAAGAAGAGTAAAAGGGAAGAAGTATTTGGTATAGAAAAGAAAAGCAAGAGGGAAGCGAAGGATCAAAGCTCTGACACCATGTTGAGAAGGGAGAGAGTGAGAGATGAAAAGAAAAGAGGGAGAGGAAGCAGAGTGACGTGAGAGTCCAATTTGGTCTTACGCACCTCTCAAATCAGTTTTATATTAATAATAGTGGAGAAATGGCAAAACTGGCCATACAAACTGGAAATAGGACATATATGTCTTATTCACTTAACATGTACGAGAAATAAGGATTTCTAATAAGATTCATGGATTATTCCATTCAGAATTAATTTTTGTTGATCTTTGTTCATTACCAATTTTTGAAGTTTTTAGTTTTCTCAGGTGTAGAAGGCATTTATTTATTTATTTTGTTTAGTTCCTCAATAAGAAGGATGTTTCTCTTCTATTCTCTGTGCCAGGGAACGCCTGTTAATTGATCCAAAAGCGCATCCTATGTTACTTGCAGAACCATCTTCTAATCCTCAACAGCAAAGAGAAAGGTGATATATACTTATGAAATATATATTGTAGTATCATATTTTGGGCATTTTATATGTGCACATTGTGCATTAGGTATTGGAGTCAAGCTATGTGCATGAAAGACCAAAAATTGGTTAATGTTTTTAAATATCTATGTATTTGTCTGTAGTATGTATTCACAAATGAATGTTTCCTTATGTTCATATGTATCTACCTAGTTGTATCCTTAGAAATGGGAAAGAATACCTTGTGTTAGATGTGGGGTGTATATGGCACACCATGATGGCATCCACTGTCTGCTTCTGACACTGTACAATGGAAGTAACCATACGGAACAAATGTCATTCACTATTAATTGTATCTGATGTCTACCACCTGTCATGGGGAATGCCCTTGTGGTCTACTATATACTATGCACTGCCTGTGTGTGGCATGATCTTCCTGATTTCGATCACTTTTCCACTGGTGGCTTTTGAAAGGAATACTAAATTTTATTTTTTTTATCTTATTAATGCAAGACTTTAAGTTTCTCTTTCATTTTTGGATTGGGCCATTGAATCAGGAAGGGCTCATTCACATTTTCAGTATGTGCATATTGCTATTGTTTTGTTTGGATAGCATAGGTTTGTTTCCATGGAATGCGAAATTTCTTTGTTTTTGCTTTCTATTTAGCTCATGATAGGTGGGATTCATGACTAGCTGGATGAACTACATGTTTGATACTTATTATTTTTTCTACATAGAACGAAATTTGCCGTTTCTTCTTATTTGTGTTGTGGATATGTTCTGATAATTGTTTTGGTGAATACTACAGGACAGCAGAGCTTATGTTTGAAAAATACAATGTTCCTGCTCTGTTCTTAGCCAAAAATGCTGTATGTTATTGTTTGCAATTCATCTCGGTTTTAAATCGTAATCATGATTAATTAATGTTTGTGGTTCTGAATACTCTACTGTTCATCTTATCTCCAAATTTACTTTTAACTGACTCTATTTTATCATTGGGTCAATGCCAGGTGCTTACATCATTTGCTTCTGGGCGTGCCACCTCATTAGTTGTAGATTGGCAAGTGTCACAATGTTTTTATATACTTTTGCATTCCTTGATTGTTGTCATTGTTGTAAGCATTTACTGGTGGAATTGGTTGTTACCAGATCTGTTCCCTATTTCTCATTTGCTCTTCGTTTTAACCATTTGATATATCATGCTTGTTCTTGATGTGTGTATTAATTTCACTTATTTACCATTTTTGGCTTTGTGGATGTTCCCTTATATCTGGATGTGGATTTCATTGAAATTATTTTTTGGAGGCTTAATTTCTTTTTCTTCCTGAAAAGGTGTGTTTGGTTTGATTGAGAATGAACAACTTTTATTTGTCATAGATTACATGCCCATATGTATATTACTGCCGTCATGGAGGGCCAATGCATACACACCCATCCTCCCATCTACCCACACACACATATGGTGAACTAATGAAAACTTGGCCCATCCCGTCATGCTGTGATATGCTTGCAATGTTTAAAAAAAAAAAAAAGCATGGAGAACAAATAAAACACGGTTAATTTGAACATTTCGATAGAAAGCCTTGACAAATTGATGTTTAAAATGTGCACGCTCTCTCTTATGCATATCTGCATGCATGTACGCATGGACAAACAAATTAATCTGACGTCTTTGTTTGTTGAAATATTGGTGTTAGCCATATTACTTTCTATAGTCACAACAGATTTTATTCAAATGCGAACGTAAATTGTCGCAATCTAAATTGCTTCAAATTCATGATAGTGCTAAGCTGCATTGAAATGGACTACCCTTTCATTTGATATCATCAGTGTTTCAAAAAGCGCTAGGCCGCCCAGCGCCTAGGCGGGCCCCCTGAACCTGGGCGGCCCAGTTGAATCTAAAAAGGATTCTACAATCTCTAAGAGTATATATATTGTATAAAATATGAAACTTAGGTATTTAGGGCACATCAGAATTCAAAGTATACTACACATTATCACACACTCCATAAGCATAACTATAAGTTGGTCCATATCCAATTAAAACTTAAAATTTACCAACCAAATTACCAAACGAAAGTTACTAAATACCAAACCAATAGAACTACAAATCCACCATACACAACCAAGAGGAAGAAAACAAAAATGAAAGTAACACTTGAAGACTCAAAAGAATCTTCAAAGTTTAATCATTATTCATCATTCATCATCAGAAAAAGTAGGGTCAACCGCATTTGCATCATATTCATCGGAGTCGTCACCCTCCTCGACATGTTGGTCGTCCTCCTCTATCTCTTTTGAATCTGCCTCTTCTTCCTCCTCTTCCTCCACCCTCGTCCTCTGCATAGAAGATCTAGTGGCCTTAGGATAGTCGGCTGATTTCTCTGAAGCATCCATGACCATGTCCCATGTCAATCCTTCATGCCCCTCGACCTCATCATCATCAACTAACTACTCCATAGCATTGTCCTCATTTTTTGATCTGATGGAGTCTCTCTTATCTCTCTTAGCATACCTGTCCTTCAAGAGTCGATTATACTTGACATAGACTAGGTCATTGAGCCTCTTTGATTCAAGCTTGTTCCTTTTTCTTTTTAAAATGGTTTCTAAAATGTTTGAGGTTACAAATAAACCTAAAAACAAGAAATTTGGCCCTTTAGTATAAAAAAAAAACGACAAAAAATGCCCCTACCGAAACTCATTTCCGCCATTGGGTGGGACGCAGGTCCTGGGCGCCAGCCCAGGTTTGGGCGTTGGGCAGCCGCCTAGGCGGATTCCAGGCCGCCTAGGTGGGCGCCTTGCGTTTTCTGCTTTTTTTTTCGCCCAAGCCCCCAGAACTGCCTAGGTGGCCGCCCAGGTGCTAGGCGATCCGCTTTTTGAATCATTGGATGTCATTTCCCCATTGGCGTATGTACTCGCTAAAGGGGATCACCTTGGCGAGTCAAGAGTTCTTTTTTTGGCAAACCATGATTGATCTTTCTAGATGATTGCGTAGTGTCATTACATGCTTGGGTTTTATTTGTGAATTGTGATAATTTGAGTTATAAAATTGGTTTGTGCTAGTTACTATCACTAACAACAATCGCATTGTGTTGGGTAATCAGTGGCGGCGGCTCTACTACTGTTGCTGCTGTACACGATGGCTATGTTCTTCAAAAGGTTTGTTGACATATTGCCATCCATGCATTTTATAACCAGAAATGATATTCATAAATTCTAAGTTTGATTTATCAATTCGTTATTGTGGGTAATCTTCTGTTTGAACATCCAAATAACTCATTGATGGCTTCTTATTTAAGTTGTATTTTTGAGAGTGGTGGTGTTTTTGAGTTTGTTAATCTGCCTTGGCATTTTATACCCTTTTTCAATTTGTTTTTCTTTAATAGGCTGTGGCATCATCTCCTATTGGAGGGGAATTTCTGACTGATTGCATGAGGAAATGCTTGGAAAGCAAAGGCATCGTGGTGAGTCACTTATCAGCATTTACAATTTGCTTTTTTCTTAATTTATATACTGTAGAGCTACCATAATCTTGGATTGGCCACTTTGTTATGTGTTGCAGCTAAAACCTAGATACTCATTCAAACGAAAGGAGGTACGTCCAGGGGAATTTCAGGTGGGATTTTTCACACCAGCCTCAATCTTTTGTTAATTGTGTTTATTCCTGTTGCCACTAACAGTTTTATTTTCTTCCACCACTTTTTTACTTCATAATTTTTGCTGCTTTCCTTTGTACTGGAGTAGCTCTATTGAGTTTAAGCAGGAGTGTTACTGTTACATCCCATTGCTTTGTGGTTTAGAGTTGTGAAGGGTAAGGTTGGTTATGACAAGAATAGATGTGTGCAATCACAACAGGATTGTGTTATATAAGGTGGAGTTAATAGTACACCAGGTTTAGGTTCGGCATGTACTTGGGTTAGACTTTGTGTTTTTGTTTGGTGCAAGTTGGAGGTTCTGTAAACCTGGTTTCCATGCTTGGCCAACCTTTGGATTTGGGAACGCATGGAATAGGTTGTCAACAATAGGACTATATATTCTGGTTTTTAAAGAAACCTCAGTGATGGTGAAGGAGATCTCCATATTGTGTTGTACAAATTTTCTTGTCTTTACGTTGGAATCTTTATATGTTTGGCTATCCTAGACATGATGCTGACAACTGTCAGCCCCAAAACCATGAATTGAATCACTTACATCTATCTCATGTAATGTTTTTAAACTCAGACTCCTGTCTGTAACTGGGTGGGGCTGAGTCTGAGTCAGGGTGACTTGACGAAATCTTAAAAGATACAACAAAAACACCTTGGGAACCAGGGAGATTCGGCCAGTTTCCGAGTTTTTCCACTCGGGCCTGGTGTTGGGTCCAAGTGACTTGCCTGTGTCGAAGTCGGACTTGGAAAGTTTTAAGACACTGGTTTCATGTTTAGGTTCGGCATTTACTCGGGTTATACTTTGAGTGTTTGTTTGGTGCAAAGTGGAGGTTCTGTAAACCTGGTTTCCATGCTTGGCCAACCTTTGGGTTTGGGAACACATGGAATAGGGTGTCAACAACATGACTCTATATCCTGGTTTGCAAAAAGGAACCTAGGAACAGTGAAGGAGATCCCCATATGATATGCGGATATTCTTGGTTTTGCTTTGGATCTGCACCTTTATCTATTTGGCTATCCTAGACATTATATTGATAAATACTGCTTCCCAAACCATGAATTCAATCACCTAACATCTATTTCATGCAATGGCTTTAAACTTAGACTCCTGTCTAGAACTTGGCAGGGCTAAGTCTGAGTCAACTGTTCAGACTCAGTTGAGTCCAAGCCAGACTAGTGGAATCTTAAAAGATATAACAAAGATACCATGGGAACTAGGGAGACTCGGTCAGTTTCCGAGTTTTTTCTATACTTCTTCCCACCTGGATCTGTAATTATTGTGACCTGTACTTCCTCAAAGCATCCTTGACAGTCTTCAAATAATTGTTTGTGAGCTCCACCTATTTCTTAAGTAAAGTCTCTTTGAGCTCATAATGTGTAGGCGCCTTAAACTCAGGCCCAAGTTGCTACATACTTTCAACATAGTTTGGAAGTTCTTCAAGCTAGCTCCATTGAAAGAAATACTCCCTTGATATCAATTGCGCTTTGTATTGACATACCTGACTCCTATCATCCTTCATGAAGCAGTTATCTATGGCGAATTTCTTCTTATCTCTAACCACAGTCTCAGATCAGGCGAAAAATAAGAAACAAGATGCCCCTTTACTCAAGATTTCTTCTGTTCAAGCCCCCTTTGTGTGCTATTTCTAGTGGCCACCTCGAGCTCCCCTTCTGCAACATAGTTTTCTTCTCCAAAAATGATAGATGATTTCATTATCCTCATATTTCTCCCCCTCTTCTTTCTTCGTTTGCCTCCCCTCCAAATTGTCAACATGAGGTGATACCTTAGTGCATGGGGCTAGATCCTCTCTCTAATGCCGGCCAAATGTTTTTTTAGTTGATGTGTCATCATCATCAGAACCTTTTCCCAACTATTTGGGGTCAGCTACACTAATCTTGGTTCATTATTTTGCTTTATCAATGGCCATACCCTCGGGATTCCATGAATCCTGAAACTAGTAATTCTTCTGGTTCCTATCATTTTCATTGGGCGTAGTGGCATAATTCTAGTGTTTCAAAAAGCGGACCGCCTAATGCCTGGGCGGCCGCCAGGCGGTTCTGGGGGCCTGGGCGCATCTCCCAGACCTAGGCGCCCCAAAAAAGCGGATATCCCTAGGCGCCGGGGAACCCGCCTAGGCGGCTGCCCAGGGCCCGCGCCCCGCCCATGGGCAGAAATGCCCCTCGTTGAGGATATATTTGGGTCATTTAATTAATACTAAAGTTGCAAAATTATGGGTTTTAGATTCATTCGAAACCTAAAACCCATTAGAGCCTATCTTAGAGAGAGAAACCCAAAAAAAAAAATTTCTACTGGGGCGCCCGCTTGGGTGCTGGGCAGCCTGGAGCCCCCCTGACTGCCTAAGTGCCGCCTAGTGCTTTTTGAAACACTGCATAATTCTGACCTAAATCACCTTATTTATTTGAACTTGGAGATGACATTGTTGCCTACTGAACAAAAGGAGTAAAGTAACTAAACAGTAACACCCAAGCCTGAAATATCCACAAAACCAAAACTCAGTCTGGAATAGTTATACTATAAGTCTATGATGCAACAAATCAAACTCCAATCCTGAAAAAGTAACCCAATCTTAGAAAATATGATCAACAAACCCAAACCCAAACCCATACCAGAAAAAATTAAAAAATTAACACTAGAAAAAATATCACAACTAAAACGCTAATACTGGAAAATTCACTAAACCCCAGCTAAATATTTGGAAAAGTCATCAAAAAATGGAGAAGGGTTAATGAGTTAGAAAAAAATTATAACACTTAAACCCAATCTTAATAAAATATTAATAAACTAAAACGCAACCCCAATCTCAAAAGGGGTAAATCCAACCGTTGAAGAGATAAAAAATGCAAAAGTAAAAACCAATATTGAAGAAGAAGATAATCTAAAATCGAAATACACTAACGTTACAAAACCTTATCAAAGTTAGTTCAACTAATTGAGCTTTTACTATCTCTGCAATTCTCACAAACGATCGTTTTCTATAATTATTGAATTTGCGAGAATTCGTAAGTAGCCAAAATTTTCTCAATGTTCGGCATTGTGAACGGATATCTGAGCATCGACTTTGTTTGCAAGCGTTTTTATGGGATATCCATTGCCACCTATCATGCATGCTATCTACTGAGTTAGCTTTTGATTGAAGTAACAAAATATTTTCTCATGTTGAATTTGTTATTTTGTTCTCTGATTACTGAACTTGGACAACTTTCCATTAACAATTAACTATGACATGACATTTTCTGTATTTTGAAATTCAGACAGTGGACCTTGATTATCCTAATACAACTGAAAGCTACAAGATGTACTGTCAGGTAACTGATTTCTCAATGGCATTTCTCTTTATTGCAAATTAAAGTTCCCAAGTTATGCTCTGTGTCTGTTGTAACTTTCTTATTCTCTTTCATGTCAGAGGGTAATCGCTGGTGATACTAAGGAATCTGTATGTCGGGCACCAGATACAGCATTTGATGGTAAAACTGATCCCTGTAATTAGATACTAATTTGTTTTTATTTATTCCATTTGAATTTGAATGACTTCACCTTGTTTAAATCTTAGTAATATAGGTTGTCTCTCTCAAGGTATGGGATTATATGTTTGGATGTCGCAGCATCAAATGATTGCTAAGATAGTGTCAGGGTAAATTAAAAAACTGTGCTAGTGGACCATGTTTCTTTTAGCCACTTTCCCACTGCAGATCATTTATGTGATCTTTGTTGTCTCTCTCTATCTCTGTCTCCCTCTCCTGTGTCTGAGTTGCAGGTACGGGGTGGGCAGGAGCACCTACGTTCTAATACTTTTTAAGTAGAGTAATCATTTTATACATTTGTGATGCATAATACTTTTTATTTTCCGTTTTAGCTAAATAATTACTTTCCTGTTTGAGTTTGGCCTCTAATCATTTCTGGGTTCGTATAATTAATTTTGCGTATTGTGGATCTCATGGAAACTGTTCATGATCATAATTTATTTCCTGGAACTGGTTTGGATAGTCATGTTGATTAGTGAAATTTTGAAATATTTGTGTTTTGAAGATGCCAATGGTTATCATGCTTTTGAACTCAATTAGTAGTTTGAGTTATTGTTGTAGATGGAACATCAAATTTTGGACTTGGTATAACCTGAGTTGCATCCCTAGTTATTAAATTCGTTTGATCCCGATCTGAATGGGCTTTCCCTAACCATTTTTGAAAGCGAAGTTGATGTTCAAGTTTGGAATAGGCTATTCATTACCATTTTCCAATAATTTTTGCTATGATCCAGAAAGCAAGCACAAAACCGTAAAATGTAGAATTTTCAGGAGACAGAAATGTAAGGTTACAGCATCATGATTGCCACAAGCACAAAGAGTATCATCATAATTGTAAATGTGATTTTGGCAGTGAAGAACAAGCACATATCGTTATGCTTTTTGCAAGCACAGAGAGCAACAGTAACATTTCATTGAAGCTGCAATGCTTGTTTGTGTGAATTACTGGATTCATGGAATTACTGGATTCATGGAAGTTCAACCAATTAGGTCTAAGAAGGTTGATGGCCTTAAACTTTCCCGTAACTCATCCCATGCCCAGGTAAAAGGATATGGTTGTGTTAGGTAGGCTACCAACATAAAATTTTGCCAAAACCCATCATGAATCCTGATAAAGGCCTTTCATAGAGCAGAATGGAGAATGGAGAATCAGGATTCATGTAGCCGACCCCAATTAATTGGGAAAAGGCTAAAATGATGATGATGGCAGTTCAGCCAATTATAGGCTTGCCTAATAAATCTTGGATGGCAAGCAATGTCTACAAAGGTTTGCCAGGAAAATTTAGGACATGAACTTGCTATACCTATCACTTGGTTGAGAAATCTGGAATAATGCAACTTGCCATTCGAGTTATTGTACCATTGGCTTTAAATATTATCTTCTGATGGATGAAGATGGGTAATGTTGGTTGCCTCTCAAGATGGTGTCAATGAATGCTTGGTTGCCTTTCCACTGTCCACCTCTATATGTTTGTCAGTGGATCACGCAAAGGTTTCTTCAAAAGCTCTAGAGGAACTAGACAAGGAGACCCCTTATCTCCTTTTCTATTTTCAGTTGTTGCTGAACCTTTTAGCAGCGTGTTTTGGGAGTATTATGAGGCTAAGTTACTTTGAGGTTTCAGGTGTCACCTAATGCTCGTTCAGTCTCCCATTTACAGTTTGTGGACGACCCCCTACTTCTTTGTGATGCTTCCAGAGAGAAAATGGAGAAATTGCAGCTGTTCCTTTAGATGCTTTGAGATGTGACATGTCTCAGGGTTGGACACGGAAAAGACGAAATTTATGGGTATTTTGGTCCCTGATCATGAGCTAAAAGGGCTCTCTGAGGGCATTGACTGTGGGGTTTGTAGCTTGATAAATAAGTATTTGGGGTTGTTATGTTCATGAAGTCAGTATGGGACGAGGTCGTGGGCCGGTTTCAGAGGAAAGTTGATTTATTTAAGGTACGAAGAATCACCTTTATAAACTTCACCTTGGATAGTCTAATCATATGTTTTATGTCCTTTCCTGTTCCAGCCTCAGCGCTAATCACATAAAGAGGTTGATGAGGGGTTTTTGTGGGGTGGTATTACAAGAAAAAAAGATACCATCTCATTGTGTGGACACAGGTTTGCAATCTGAAAAGCAAAGGTTGATTGGCTTGAAGGATGATCAGATTAATGGATACAAAGTGGTGGTGGATCACGGCAAACATCAATGGGAAGAAGTGGTGAAGGCAGAGTATGGCGAGGAGGTGGAAGGAGGTTCAAAGCATATAGATCCACTCATGGCCGCTCTGGGGTCTGGGAAGGAATCAATAATTTCAGGCCTGGTTTTGCAAAAAACAAAAGGTAAAAGGTTAGCAATGGCCAAAATACTCGGTTTTGGCTAGACATATGGAGTGGGACAGCATGCCTTAGACATGTTTTCCCAGGTCTATTTGCTTTGCTCATTATGAATTAAATAACAATGAGCGAGGATGTAAAAGGCTCAGGCCACTCACGACAAGGACCCTATGTCTGAGAAGACCATTGAAGGGGGATAATATCAAAGCTTTAAAAAATTCGACTGCTGCTCTAGACCTTCTTAGTCTTGTGACTCTTACCCAAAGAAGGAAGATATTCTCACTTAGGGGCCAGATAGTAAAGCTGAGTTCCCAGTACGTCAGACAAGTTTTCCCAGGTCTATTTGCTTTGGCCATTATGTGTGAAATAACAATAAGCGAGGTAGTAGAAGGCTCAGGTCACTCACGATATGTTTGCAACTGTTGCATCTATTTAACTTTCCTAGTAACCATAATACTCCAAATAGGTCTTTGTTTTGTTTAAAGAAAACTGTTTCCACTATTTTAGCTAGCATTGGTAACCAAGATGGCCTAAGGGAATTTCTCAAACAAGAATGAAGAAAGTCATATCAAACAATAGAGTAAAAAACAAGCCTGAGCTTTTATCAAGGTTCTCCCTCAAGTTGGATAGCTGATCATGGTTGTTGTGGACAGTTTCGAGATTTGGAAGGTCTCACTAGGCTGTTATGGGGCCTAGGAAACTCATGTGAATGCAATTTTTTATGATCTTTGTTGAGCAAGATTTCATCCAAACGTTTTAGTCCTGTCTGGTCACACTTTTCATGCGTAGATGCTAGTTGTCCAGCTTCTTCCAAAATGTGAGGAGTTAAATGCACTGTGTTGCTGATTGCCTTCTTGAATTGAGCTAATCCTAGTCCCTAGAAAGTCTAGTTTGTCTTTGATGGAATTCATCATATTCCATTAGGCTTGAAAGTTTAACCATAAAAACCAATTGCTAGGTCCAGACAGGGAATATTTGAAACCCACTTCTTTGAGCTTGACCTGTCGATTGGTTTGCTGGACTGGTCAAACCATGCAGGAGACCTAGAGAATTTGGCTTCTTATATCCCATTGATAGGCAGTCACATTCTTAGCATCAAGAACTAGAAGTTCATGCATGATCTTAATCATTCTTTTGGTTTTTTGCATGATAGTACTTTATCTATGCTAATTTTTATGCCTAGTTCTGGTTAATATTCCTCTCAATCTTATCAATACGCCTGATTCTTGTAAGAATTTCCTATTATATATAAGCCTTTTGTGATTGGCAATCACTGATGTTTTCATCCAACCATGGTTGTTCAATGATAGTTCTTGTTCTCCTCGGCAATTTCCATTTGCAGCAATGCTTATGGTTGAAGAAGATTTGTATGTTGATGAGCACAACATTAAGATTAATCGTAAAAATTAACTTTGCAATAATAAGTAATGTTCTGCCGAATGCAAATTTTTATTGGTCTGGAAATGATTGACAAATAAGACTGACAATGAGGGAAAAATAATGGGAAATTGTTTTACTAATTATATATATAAAAGTTTGTAACTTCTGTAGAATATGCTGAATCTGAAACAATATTAATTTTGCAGAAACTGCATACACCAACATTCCTATGACACCGTATGAGCTTCCAGATGGACAGTGAGTTGTGATCTTGCTTTGTCTTTTCGTCTCAAATCAATTTTCTTACCATGAAGTTGAATTGGTTTAAAACATAGTAGGAAAATTGCTATTGGTCCTTTCTATGTCAACCAGTGCCCAGTAACTACTAATGTATTTTCTTTTAAGGGTGTTATAGCATTTTATGGTAGCTGGGCAGGTCCTAGTTATTTTGCTTATTTCTAAATGAAATTGTTCAGTTCCTATTGTTTTCTCTTGTCTAAGGGTTCTTTTTTAAGCTTGCATATTTTTTATTTTTGCTCCTGACAGGACGATAGAAATTGGGGCTGACAGATTTAAGGTTCCAGAAATTCTGTTTAGTCCATCCTTAATCCATGTGGGTAAATTTTCAGAGTAGGTTTTCAGATTTAGAAATCAAATTCTATGCTTGATATGTCCCCTTCTTATGTTTCAATTTGAGAAAATTATAATGAAGAATGTAGGGAAATAAGAACCCAATGGAAGGGAGAGATCTTCTCACTGAATCCCGTTCCCTCAAATTAGGCGATTCTGTTTATTATTTTTATTTATTTCTATATTCTTGAACATGTTCTTATGTGTTCTCATGCCGTGTACATGATCTGACCATCCAATTTTATGCCATTTTCTTTAATTTTCAAGGAGATAGACCCATTTTAACTGCCGAATGTAGATTCTATGGTTGGTGTAAGAAGCGTGAGGACCTTAAATTTTCCCTTAACACTTCTCAAGCCTGGGTAAAGGAGGTGGGTTGTGTTAGGTTGGCATTCAACATAAAATTTTGTCAAAACTTTTCATGAATCTCGAATATATGTTATTTGCTTATGCTAAGGTGTTCCCCGTAAGCGACATGCTAAGTTGGAATTCGTGAACAATGAAAAATGAGCAATGACTAGCTAGGGCGTTCCCTAGAAGCGACACGCCGCAGTGCCGCCAGTTGCGGTTAAATTTAGGCAAGGTTTCCGTGTCATCCTGGATGAGTGCTGGTAAAGAAGCTAGTCCAAGAGAAAAAGAATTCGCCTAACCACATGGAATATAGGAACGCTGCCAGGTAAGAGTATGAAGTTAGTGGATACAATGAGACGAAGGAGAGTAAACATAACTTATTTATAAGAAACTAAGTGGAAAAGAGAAAAAGCTAAGGAAATAAATCGGTATAAGTTTTGATATATAGGAAAGGATAATAATAAAAATGCATAGGCATAATAATAGATGGATATTTAAAATATAAATTAGTTAATGTCAAGAGAGTAGGTGATAGCCCCTTATTAATTAAACTTATATTAGGGGAAGAGATAATTAATGTAATTAGTGCTTGTGCACCACAAGTAGAAATAGAGGATAGAATTAAAAGACAATTTTAGGAGGACATAGATGAACTAGTCCAAGATATACCAAATGGAGAGATGACCTTTTTAGGAGGGGACTTAAATGGACATGTAGGAAAAGATACTAAAGGATATGAAGGGGTACATGGGGGATATGAGTTTGGTAAAAGAAATGAGATGGGTGAGGCTATACTAGATTTTGCTATGACCTACGACCTAGCAATAGTAAACACCTACTTTAAAAAATACGATGAACATTTAATAACCTATAAAACTGGATCACATAAAAGCCATATAGACTTTTTCCTAGTTAAAAAGCTAAATCGACTATCACGTAAAGGCTATAAGGTTAGCCCAGAAGAGAGTTTGACAACCTAAAATAGGCTCGTGATTATGGACGTCTGGATAAAGACATGGAAGAGAAGGGGTGAAAGTAATAGGTATCCAAAAACCAGATGGTAGAATTTAAAAAATGTGAAAATAGACTTATTTAGGGATAAATTAGTTAAAAAAGAAAACTAGACCTCTGAACATAGGGTCAATGTTATGTGGAATGAGATGACTGACTGTATTAAGAAAGTGGCAAAAGAAGTTTTGGAGAATTTAGAGGGAAAAGAAATTTTGATAAGAAAAATTGATAGTGAATTGATGAGGTTTAGAAGGCCATTAGCGAAAAATGATCATGTTATAAAACTTCGCAATATAATAGAAGCGATCAAAACTTAGGAGAATATAAAAATGCTAAATAAATAGTAACCAAGGCTAAACTTAAGGCATATGATAATCTATATTGTAGGCTGGGAACAAGAAAAGGTGAAAAAGATGACTTCGAATTAGCAAAAATGAGAGAGAAAAAGTGTAGGGATATAAACCTTATTAAATGCATTAAGAGTGAAGATCAAAGGGTTTTTGTGAAGGATGAAGAAGTCAACGAAAGCTGGAGAGTTTATTTTCAGAAATTATTAAATGACGAACATAATGAAAACATAGCGGTAGAAAAAACTATTAATATAAATGAAGATGGGGGTCATAAATTTGTTCGTAGGTTTAGGATATCAGAAGTGAAAGAAGCTTTGAAGATGATGAAGATGGGGAAGGCTTTAGGACTTAGATGGTATCCAGATAGATGTTTGGACGTGCATGGGGAAAGTTGTTAAACAAGGTGTTGAGAATAAATAAAATGCTAGATGAATAGAGGAAAGTAATGTGGTACCGATTTACAAAAAACAATTGAGATATATAGAATTGTGCGAACTATCGTGGGATCTATATTATGAAGTTGTGGGAGAGAGTGATTGAGCAAACGAATAAGGATGAAACGAGTGTATCAGAAAACCAATTCAGTTTTATGTCAAGGAGGTTAGCAAGTGAGGCTATTTTCTTGCTTAGGCAACTACTTGAGAAGTTTAGGTTGAAGGGAAAAGACCTCCAAATGGTCTTTATTAATCTAGAGAAAGCTTATGGTAGAGTACCTCAAGATTTGATTTGGTGGATGTTGGAAAAGAAAGGAGTCTCCAGACACTGCATTGACTTGGTGGATATTGGAAAAGAAATGAGTCTGCAGATAATGCATTGACTTGATGAGAGATATGTACGAGGGAGTGCTAACTAGTTTACGAACAACTAGTATAGGGATGAATGAGTTTTTAGTGACAATAGGTCTGCATTGGGGGTCAACATTGAGCCCATACCTCTTTGTCTTAGTTATGGATGACTTAACTAGGCACCTACAAGATGAGGTACCGTGGTACATGTTTTTCACGGACTACAGAATTTTGGTCGATGAGACCTGCAATGACATCAACACAATTAGAACTTTAGAGGGATGCTCTAGAATTCAAAAGGTTTTAAAATTAGTCGGACTAAGACATAGTAATAACAAGAGTAGAGATGAGGAAGTAGTTAAGATTGACATCTAAAAAATACCAAAGAGAGAGCACTTTCGATATCTTGGAGGATAATCCAGATTAATGAAGAGATTGAAGAAGATGTGGCACATAGAATTAGAGCTAGGTGGGCGAAGTGGAGATGTGCAACTGGAGTTTTATGTGATCGAGGCATACAGTAAAGCTGAAAGACAAGTTCTATAGGAAAATTGTGAGGCCAACGTTGCTTTATAGGACGGAATGTTGGGTGGTCAAGAAAAAACATACCCATAGAATGAGTGTAGCTGAGACGAGGATGTTGAGATAGATGAGTGGCAAGACAAGAAGGGATAGAATTCGAAATGAATATACTCAAGAATTTAGGTGTAGCATCAATAGGTGATAAGACGAGAGAAAGTAGACTTAGATGGGCTAGACATGTGTTGCATAGACCTAGTACAACACTTGTTAGGAGGGCGAGTAATTTCAAGTGGAAGGCTCAAAAAGGGCATGGGGTAATCCCAAAAGGATATGGTTGGAAGTGGTGAGAAAAGATATGAGAACTTATGGCCTCATTGAAGGTATGATCCTTAATAGAGCAGAATAGCGGGCCAAAATTCGTGTAATTGATCCCAATTAGTTGGGAAAGGCTTGGACGATGATGATGATGATGATGTAGATTCTATGGTAATGCACAAAAAACTCAGTGGATTTTGGATTTCCTTTTTTCAAATCAATTTTACTTTTAGTTATCCAAAACCCTATAAAAAAATTAAGTTAACTACAATAGACAAAATTATAATTCAATTTTGGTTGCTTGATATGATTATGTCAATGATCAGTTACACTATAAATTGATTGCACATTGTGCATATAATATTTTGTGTTGATTTTATTGGATCATTTTTTATTATTTTATGTTTTCTCATATACTCTCTATAGATGATTCCTGGGATGGAGAACCTTGACAATTCTACTCCAATTCGTGGTCTTCCTCAAATGGTAAGATCTCGTTTCTTTAATCAAGGTTGTGTACAACAGATTGAATGCTGTCATGGTTTCTGGCCACATCTCTCTGCTTACAGTAGCAGTTCCAGTTCATCACTAATGAATCTCAATATATCTAGGTTATCGATAGCATAAATAAATGCGATGTGGACATTCGTAGGGAGCTATTCAGCAGTATTTTGGTAAGAATTTCATTTTCTTTACTCCATGATTTATTTATTTTAATGGTTTATATTCTTTGGATATGGTAAGCTTTTAGTCAGACCAGACTTGAGCTGGTGCACCATGTTAAAAGTATTGGGAATGTTACCTCAACAGCATGAAATCTCTGACTAGTACGGTCAATGTCTTAGTTCTCCTTGCCTTGCCATCCAAAACACAATTGGTCATATTAAAATGGACTTATTTGTAAATTCGTTTGCATAGCTGCAATGGCATCTGAATTATAATAAGCCATATCTTAGCCTTGTGTACCTTTCTTATTTTATGCAAGGACCTTGACATATTCAAGGGATCTGTGGTATTGGCTTCAAATCATTGCTGATACACACAGACACACATATCCGTTTGCTCTTACCCATTTGCTGTATTATGTGCAAGTAAAGTTTTAGCATATATACACTTGTCTTTGATGCAACTATTGATTTTATGATGATATTTGATTTAGTTGATGGTATTTTTTATGTTTCACAGCTTGCTGGAGGTACAGCCTCGATGCAGCAAGTGAAGGAGCGGCTTGAGAAAGACTTAATGGAGGTAAGATCATACTAAGGAAGTAGCTTTTTAGAACTGTAGTTTTTTAGTTTGATTATATCTACCTTTTAAATGTAAATCCTCAATTTAGTTGATACTGTTATCAGTTGTCCTTTAAAGATGGCAATATTTATTTTATTATAATGGTCTTATTATGAAATTGGTTTGTACACCTACGAGTAATTGCAAGGCCTTCTAATTGTGATGATTTAAGAACATTCAGTAACTTAAAGAGCTTGTCTAATCTAGTGGGGTCTCTTAATTCAACTTTTACTCTACCTCACATATTTACATACTCACACACATGCATAGTGCAGTGAATCAGACTTTATTAAGTATATACATTTTGTTGCATGCATACTTGCATTTTGGCAAGGGTTTGCCTACATATGTGGAATGGTTCTGGATTTACCATGAAAGAATAATCACCTCATTGTCGGCTTTGTTACATTCTGCAGGAAGCTCCTCAAGCTGCACGAGTAAAGGTGCTAGCAAGTGGGAATGCGACTGAAAGGAGATTCAGGTCTAGTTTCTTCTTTGCATCTCTTTCTATTATTGCAATTCCCACGATGTCCGTGGATTGATCATCTTTTACTATCAACAGTTCTAGTAGACCATTTGCTTTTGGTGTGTGTGTGTGTGTGTGTGTGAGAGAGAGAGAGAGAGAGAGAGAGAGAGAGAGAGAGCATGTTGGATTATGTATGGGGGAGGGAGGGAGTCCATGTGAGAATTTCTGTGAAGTGCATAAATTGCTGAGGTTGGTTGCTTGTTCTCCTCATAAAATGCAGTGTATGGATTGGAGGGAGTATCCTGGCCTCCCTTGGCTCCTTCCAGCAGATGTGGTTCTCCAAATCTGAGTATGTCCCTAACTAGCACAAATCATCCACTCTCTCTCCTAGCAGTACTGTTTATTTCACATTCATATTGTGGGAGCAGGTTTGAGGAGCATGGCGCGTCATATATTCAAAGAAAATGCCCTTGAAAAGCGTTTTGGAGAATTAACCCGAGGCTGAGCGATTGTATGGCACTTCTCATCAAGCTGGAAAATCTCATGTAGAACTCTGGTCTATGTCAACCATTATTGCTGTTACGTATTCATTTAGAAGTTATATGCCTGTTCATACTCTAGGCATTTTTGAAGTATTAAGTTAATACTTGAGGCATTTTTAAATTTAATTATACGGGGAAATTCATGCAAAACATGTCCATTGCTTCACCTTTTTATGTTTTATTAGGTTTCAGTCAGTCCCTAATGTAAGTGGTATGGCGCTGTCAGTGTGGTGTAGACCATCCCTCGGATTCAATTTTTGTTTCCTTTTGAAATTATACGTGTTGAAGATTGCATTGGTTAATGGTGGAGTTGGATCATTGGGTTCATTACTATTTTGTACAGGCATTAAATTTGGTAATATGCACTAGTAAGCAAGTGAAGTGCATTATAAAATAGCCCAAAAAGAATAATATAGTTCTAAGCATCATCATTCTAAAATTTTAGAGAAATTTACACTCCTGTCCTCCTAAATTTGTGTTTTTATGTTCATATTCTTTGCCATTTGTTTTATTTTTAAGATGTCCGTGCTTCAGATTTTCTGGGTCTGAAGTGACGACAACTTCATATTGAAATTCTGAACAGTTTTTTTTTATTGTGACTTTGAACAAGTCAAGTTTTGTTGAACCAACTTCGGGATCTTCATTGTAGGAAGTCATTCTAGCATGTCCTAAATCAATACTTATGAAATGATCTTAAGATAGAAAGTCATTTTGAAAAAATCAAGAATTAGTGGTTTTACCAAGTCTCCGAAGTCAACACTTTCGCAAATGTATATATATTTTTTAAATTCAGGTGTTTCAGACCTCGAAGGACTGAAGTAAAGATTTTTTGAGTCTTAAATTGGAATCTTTAGCTAAGAGTTATTTTTTCGCTTTGGACTTCGAAAGTAGAAGGAACGGCTTTTTGGAATAATAAAACAAAAGGAAAAAAGTGCGAACATCAAAACAAAAATTTGAAATTTTTTTATAATATTGTTACTTTAGGGGATAAATCTTTAAGCATCCCTCCACCTAGGGTTTTGGAGTAGCCATGGAGTTGCCGCCTGGTTTCTTTTGGGCACCTCTATGACGGTGAAAGTATTCCAATCATGAGCCATGGTAGGGATTGTTTGGAGAATTTTAATAACAGTCCTTGAGAAGATGTAGGCTCTATGTGATTGCATACAAATAATATGTATTTTTACTACAAGGTAGTCATAATCATTCTAGTTGTAATACATGAAAGATGACAACTTATCTCAAAAAGTTCAAAAAAAATCTTTTTGGCTTTGGTTCGTGGTCATAGAACACTCCCACCGCTGGATTTCACATCCACTAATAAGTGAATAGTCTTATTTTATCACAAAATAAAAACATTAAAAAGAGAATAATTCAGGGAATTTGTTGTTGCAGTCTCTCTCTCTCTTGACAAAACTTAATAAATTTATTAAAATGAGCTGTTTACCTCGAATACTAGCCAAAAAAAAAAAAAATGTTCAATCCTATCCATTACAAGTGAAAGATCAGCCAAAGAGCTGCCTTGCTTCGCCAGATCATCTGTATGCTTGCTGGTTGGTTTCCCTCCCAGTGAAATGAGAGAAGGAAATATTAACAGAAGCGTTCAACTCTATGGATTTGCGGCCATATTGTTCGTCTGGATGGCAATAAGCCGGGAGACCGCAAAATGTGACCCGAGAGCCGTGCAACCATGGCTACGAGGGTAGATTGGGCCTGGGCCAAGCCCAGTCTGTGCCGACCCTATTTTTCATTATTTTTTCTTTTATTTGGCTCGGCCAAACTCTTTTTCATTAATTTTTCTTTTATTTGGCTCGGCCAAGTACGATTTGGCCTTGTTGGGCCAGCTTTCTTTGGCCCTGTCCCAGCCGGTGCCATGGGAACTAGGTCCGAGCTTTGTGATTCGCTGCTCCTTTTTTATATGGTGTTATGTGAATCACCTTCCACGACGATTCAATTGCCCAACCGTAACCCTTAAAACAACTAACTCCAAACAGTGCAGTAAATGGAAGGAAGATGGATCTCTCTTGCTGTATGGATATATATGTTGTCCAACAAGACTTGGATATGGATGGGTGATCCAATACGAGCTGGGCACATCAACCCCAATATCGATTTTTTCATGGCTCAAATAGACCATGCTTTTTAGCTCCTAGAAATCTTAGAAACACAACACAACCAAACCAAACCAAACCAAATTCAAAAGTCACCTCTCTTCTCTCTCTCTTCGAGAATTTCGCACACACAAACATTCCCTCCAAAGATCTTCTTGCTAAACACTACATTGTCGTACTGGGCCACAAATTTGTCTCATTTCCCTTACTTTTGTCTCCATTTAACTACCTAACAGATATCACTTGTCTTTTCCCTTGTCTCTTTTTGTTTCAATCCTTGGGACATTTCTTGGCCTTTTGTCTCGAGTGTTGGAACCCAGTCGCCTGCCTCTTTTTTCCTTAATTTCTCCCTCCAAGTTATTCAAGATCTTCCCCTCCACGTCTCCGTCGATAAACTTGTTTTCAAGCTAATTATCAAAAACATGAACTTGATCTCTGGCCAATTTTCTACTTTGCATACACCGTAATTGCTTCTCTCTCTACCCTATAAATACCCCCTTCCCCTAAACCCTTAATCCCCCCCCCTCCTCTCTCTCTTTCCTTCATTTTTCATTAGGGTAATGTTGTTTTTCTCTATCAAGTGAGTGATTTTCAGTATTTTGGCTTGTGTTGACGCCTAGAATGTGTGTGTTGTGGGCTAAGAGTATGGTGGGACACTGCCAAAGAGATGATGAGAGACTTTTGCAGTGTATGGATGTTGAAAAACTCGACTCTGAAGTGCCAATGCCTTCAGGTTCTGAGGTAATTTTATTGTGATTAGGTAAATGCTCATGTGTGTCCATCAATACCTACCAAAAATATATAAATACCCACAAATTAAAAAATACATCCATATCCATATATTTCTAAGAGAAGTAAATATCATAGTTGACCTAAGGATATAAAGGCAACTTAATGCTGGTTCCATTTTTTGTCATGGTTGTGGATGTTAAAGCAAAAATTACCTTTGGATATTTCATATTTTTTTCACTTTAGGAACACTTGTACTGTGGGGTAGGATATTGCTTCTCTTTTCTTCCTCTTTCTCTTGAATTATTGAATAAATCACAGTGTTTTTCTTGGGAACCATGGAATTGCCATTCATTTATCTTTTACAGGTTATGTAGGTGGGTCCGACACATATAATGGATAGTTATTTTCAGATACATTTATTGCTTTCCAACCCAGTAACCAAATCCAAATGGGCTTGCTATTAGCTATTCTCTACATTGGTAATCTTAGAATCAATGGGGTACTTTACTTCTTTCAGTTTCTTAAACTGAAAACCTAAACATTGGGAACTCAATAGAGCTATATGGGAATGATATGTATGAGTTTTATGATTTTGTGGATAAGAAATATACTTACTAATGTGAGTCAGGAATAGCAAAATTTTCAGCAAATATTATGTGCCTCCTTGATGCTTATTCTCGGTTGAGGTCTAAATGCATTGTGTGCATGCACGAATGAGCTTAGCGTTTTCTAAATGAGTCAGGCACTAAATCGAATAATTGAAAATTTAAATCAGTGCATTCTATTTATAAATGATCTATAATCAATTATTGGAATCTCTAAGCCCCACATCCTCTATAATTGTAGCTTGCTGATATATTCCATGCCTAAGGGCCTCACTTTTCTCTATAAAGCAGGTTTACGAGGAGCTCAAGCTTTTATCAAGGATATCCTACCCAATGATCCTTACTGGGATTCTGGTTTATGTTCGAAGCCTCATTTCCATGCTATTTTTGGGCAGATTAGGTGAGGCAGCTCTCGCCGCTGGTTCGCTTTCGATTGGTTTTGCCAATATCACAGGCTATTCCATCATCTTTGGCCTTGCAACGGGCATGGAACCCATTTGTGGGCAAGCCTATGGTGCACAAAATTGGTCCATTCTAGGTCCAGCTCTCATTAGGACAATAGTTTTTCTCATAATTTCATCCCTTCCTATCTCCTTACTTTGGCTCCATATGGACCATATCCTCCTGTTGTTAGGCCAAGAAGCAACTATCATTCATATGGCCAAAACCTACATTCTCTTTTCTCTTCCTGACCTTTTTGCTCAAGCCCTTTTGCACCCATTAAGGATTTACTTAAGGTCCCAAAACATAACTTTTCCTATTGCTATTTGTTCAGGCATTGCCACCCTCTTCCACCTCCCAATCAACCTACTCTTGGTCCAAACATTAGATTTGGGTATCAAAGGTGTGGCATTAGGAGTAGTCTTCACAAACTTTAACCTAGTTTTTCTCTTACTAATCTACATCTATTATAGCGGTGTCTACCAAATGAGTTGGAAAGGATTTTCCCAAGAGTGTCTACATGAATGGAAGTCTTTCCTCACATTAGCCATCCCAAGCTGTGTGTCCATATGCTTAGAGTGGTGGTGGTATGAGTTTATGATTATCCTATGTGGCTTACTTCTTAACCCTGAGGCAAAGGTGGCAGCTATGGGAGTACTAATCCAATTCACATCATTAATCTATGTCTTCCCTTCATCTTTAAGCATGGGGGTCTCGACAAGGGTGGCGAATGAGCTCGGTGCACGCGAACCGGCTAAGGCAAAAAGGGCGGCCATGGTGGGGTCAGGATTGGCAATAGTGATGGGACTAGGGGCATTAAGCTTTGCTACCTTGTTGAGAAACTATTGGGGTATGATGTTTACAAAGGATTATGATATTTTGAGATTAACCAAGATTGCTTTACCTATATTAGGCCTATGTGAGCTAGGCAATTGCCCTCAAACAACAATGTGTGGGGTCCTTAGGGGGAGTGCCAGGCCTAACATAGGTGCTAATGTGAACTTAGGGGCATTTTATTTCATAGGAATGCCTGTTGCCCTTGTGTTGGCTTTCAAGGTCAAGATTGGGTTCTCAGGCCTATGGTTAGGGCTTCTTGTTGCACAAATTTCTTGTGCAGTGACTCTAGGGGTGGTGGTCATTAGGACAAACTGGGTTGTTCAAGCACAAAGAGCTGAGGAGCTCACCAAATTTGATGGGTATCAAAAGTTATCTGAACGTGGTGAGGTTGGAAGTTGAGGAATCAATCTTTTGATAATTCATATTGCAAAGTTGATGTTGTAAAGTCATGGAAGAGGCTGACTAAAATAACATTAGGAGTCTACACCAATGTAGACTGTAACAAACCTGCTTTTCTTTGAATGTAAAATAAGAGGGAAGTGGTGTTTCATGGAGGGGCGGCCATTAGAGAAGGCCTCCTGCCTTTTTTTTGTGTTGTATCTATTTCATGACAAGTTGACAATTGTGACTCTCTCTCTCTCTCTCTCTCTCTCTCTACCGAGATGAATGAATTTATGCGAAATTGAATGGAGAGAAATTTATTGAAACACAACTTTTTCCAACTCTTGATCATATGTATCATGATAGGCTGATAGGCTTTTTGAAATTAAATAAAATCTCTCTCTCTCTCTCTCTCTCTCTCAGCCGAGATACATTGATTTTACACGAAATTGAAACAGAGAAATATATCAAAATACATAAATACTTATTCGAACTCATGATCATATGTATCCTGATAGACCTTCTGAAATTAAATAAAAAAATGGGTAAAATGTTATGGAGACGCATTACTTTAGTTAAGGGAATTCCCAACTATCTGAATCCTGGAACCATGGGTCCGAGCCCTAGCCACCTTCACTAACCAATCCTAGACATAAAACCTAGCCCTTCAAGGCACCAAAATACCCTAACTCTGCCTAAAAGACAACCAGGGAGCATGCAAGGTTATGCAGGCAATAGCCCACCAAAATCCCTTGCTCCATGCACCCTAACAAACTTCCTAAAGATGCCATGGAGGACCCATCATTAAGAAACTCTAATCAATCAAACTTAAACCCACTTAACTACCCTACACCTACCTAATTTGCCTAAGCCATGACAAAAACTGACCTAATTAAAATAGGCCTAAAGCACCTTGTAACCTTTCTAAATAGCCCAACCCTAGGTTCGGGGGTACTCGGATGCAGTTAAACCTCTTAAGAACCCTAATGGCCCGTTTAGTGTTATTAAACTCTACTTTTATCCCTTTCACCAAAAAAAAAAAAAAAGAAAGAAAGAAAGAAAGACAGAAAGAAGAGAGAAAGGAAAAAATTAAATAAAAGCATTGAAAGGAAGAATGATACACTTAGATTGGGTCACCACTTGGGTGTTGCCTCAGTTTATCATACAAAACTGTGGCTTTTTTAACCCACTTCGCTTCTAACCCTAGTATTGCCCCTTGTCCTTAGGAAACCCTAACCCTAATCCTCATACTAGAGACCCTAGAACGACCTAAGCCTTAGAAACTCTGAGTCCACCCACTTTATACCTCAAACAATCGAAGATCCTCCGTATACCCATGGTGGCCCTTACATTCGGATCCGAGGTGATACAAGCCCATTAGCCATTTCCCCCCTTTTTTGAACCAATTCTACTGCTCAATTAAAGGAAAACTCAGTCCCAATATAACTCTCGTAAAACTTCAAATGGTATCCCTTTTGAGGCAGAAGCGGTCAGTATATAAGCATATCAATCTGGCTAAACAAATTAGTTATTCATCTTAAATTTTCTTGATTTTTTTCACTCTGCAAGTTTTAGTATTAGTTTTGTTTAAATTAATCGCATTATCAATCTTTTCAAGGTCTAGGTGAATTTTTAGCCGGCATGCCCTAAAACATAGGCGATTAATTCTGCTTTTTGTGATCTACAATTTGACGGAACCCATACTCTATCTCTATATTAACTCTTGTTTAGGAACAAACCAAGACGGATGAAGTCTTGGATTTCCTTGCCTAAGGTTTAGGTCATTACCATCATTATTTTATCATCATCAGAGTTTTTTTTCAAATTATTTGGGGTCGGTCTTCTAAGGTTTGGATAAAACCTATTAAATGAGAAATTTATCAAAGTATACTTCACCAACTATTTGACATTTTTTCATTTTCAATTATTCCAACTCATGATCATGCATACTTTTGATAGGATTTTTGAAGCAAGGACAAAATATTAATATAATGTTAAATAGTTTATCTCTTAATTGTATGGAATAAGATTATCTATTGGTACAAAAAAATCACCATTGCCATTACTAATTAGATGTAAAATCCAATAGTTGGGGGTGTATTATTGATTGTGTTCGATGTCTATTCTTCTTGCCCAAATTCAATTACATGCACACCTAGCTCCTTAATTTCACATCAGCAAGGAGCTAGAGTAACCTACCAAAAATAAATGATTTTAGGGGAACAAAAAACCATGCGCTTAATTTGTGACCCAACAGAAAGGTTCAGTTCGTTAGTTTGTTACATAGAGGACAGCAGGTTTATAGTTGAATATTACACTACTCTATTGAACATCATAGTCCTATACGTTAAACGTATTATTTGCTCTCAAGTAGGCAATTGACGAAACTACCCTCGATCCTGGACCCTTCCTGCATTTCAACTGGCATTTCGAATAGCCGAAAGCATCAACAATAATAATACCTCATCTTATTAAGAAAATTTATGTCCGCGCTATACTGAGGGCTAAGTTTTATAAATTTGATGCAGAGGTCCATTTATTTATTTATTTTAATTTTGTTGTTTTATTTATTGTTTCAAATATCAGATCATTTTTTTATTTATATTTGTTAGTTTTTTAAAATGTAGAGACTGGTGGGAGGTTTGGATCCTTAGATCGCGTGGTTTCTATAAGGATTGTACAAGCCAAATGTTATGAGGTCTAGAACTTTGGACTGTGAATTTCAATTTAGGGATTGGTTTCTATTAGGATTGTACAATCCAAACGTTATGAGGTATAGAACTTTGGGCCGTGAACTTCAATTTAGAGATTGATACGAGGTTTTAGACTTTGAAGCTCTTAACTTGTGTGAATATTATGTCATGCAAGTCAAATAGTTCAAAATTCGAGACCTTTCACCCTTACCTGAATTGCCAAATACATAGTCTAGGGACGAACGGAAGCATTTTCTTTGGACAGGTAGTCTAGGAAATCTAAAGCTTGAAAATTTTTACACCTCTCCATAATTACCATATTTAAATACGGTAAGGAAATAAATTTTCTTAATTTTAAACAAAAGCGGTTGAATCCAAAATTTATGGAAACATGGTTGATTGAAGAGTTGGTAGAAGAGATCCATGTCCCTCTATTAATTATGTTTAAAGTGACCAAAGAACCATGAAAGACACTCTGCACTAAGCTCATTCCTTCTTGTGATGTCCAATCTCAATTTTTGGTACCAGAATACCCATTTTGTTTTTTTGTTAAAGTGACCAAAATACCCCTACTCGAAATCTTACTGAGCCCAAGCTAATGACTAATATGCCCCTCCCAGGAGTAATAGAAAATGAGATGGTCAAGTTCTCTATTTTCTAATAAGTGGGACTTTGGAGAGAAAAGCTGATAAGTTAATTCAGTCCAATCAACACATGGTTAATTTGCGTCCCTAATGCACGCCAGGCGAGATGCAAGAGAGAAACAGATAAGGTTGAATATTTCAACACTTTCTCTCTCTCTCTCTCTCTCTCTAACAGATAAGGCTGAATATTTAACCTGCCTCTCTCTCTCATTTCTTGTACATGAGCTCTCTTTCTCTCTCTAGAAAGTACATGCATCTCATTTAGGTCTTATCCCACAAAGTTCATGCACCCGCAACTATTGGTTAGACCGCCTGCCACCTTCCCATGCAGGATGCACCGGATAGCACGCCTAGGCGCTTGTTGCTGCTCTTTCCTCAGGTTTTTTTTTTGTTTATTATTATTATTTTTAATTTTTAGCAATTGGTTTTTTTTTTAAAGCCCCTACCTGTTTTTTAGATAGATTAGAAAGTTGGCTTTTTTTTTTTTTCTTCTCTGAAGGTGGCAATGGGTAGTGTTAGGATTGGAAACCATATGTAACCAAGCATGGACGGTGCTATCACCATGACCTAACCCCTTTTTTAAAAAATATTGACCATTCGTTAATCACCCCCAAATATTTTTATTTATTTTTATCTTTTGAGAATCAGTCAGGATGAGGACTTCCTCGTAGTACTCGGCCATCACTCCAAACTTAGGTTTGAGAAAGAGAACGAATCTAAAACCGAAACCACAGTAAATTTGAATAAGCCAAGATTTACATTTCGAGTATGGAGATATATACATAACACATCAAATCTTCCAGTCCCCTCTCTTTTTAGTGCCAAGCCAACATAGAAATGAGAGAGAGAGAGAGAGAGAGAAGCAAGAAAGGCAACAGGAGTAAAAGCGAAAAGAAAAGGGCGAGTTGAATAGATTCAGAGCCCCTCAATATCATGTAACTCCATTGATCTTCCCCTGTCTCTCTCCCCATTCTCTCTCTTCAACCCCACAACCTCTTGATTTTTCTTTCTCTCTCCATACAGGTAAGAGAAGAAACCCCACATACAGAGAACAGTAGAAATCCACTTCTCCCCACTAAAATCATCTTTGAAAATCACTGCACCAGCTACCACAATCAGGGGCAGCAGAGCACTCATGCAAATCCCACACATGAGAGAAGTAGTGAGAAATATAAGTCCAGTGGTCGCCATAAAGCAAAACTGCCATGAAATTACACCTCCAACCACTGTCAAAATGTAGCTCAAACGCCCCAATTCAAACTTACCATTCGCTTCCTCTCTCATCTCGCGAAAAGCACCATCACCGACCATCCCAATTGTGGCGAAGAGAGTCGCCGAAATGCTCATAACCAGTTGCATCTCCATTACCAATGCATAAGTAAACTTAATGGAAGTCAGCTTCTTGTACACCATCTCCATTAATGGAAGATAGATGGCGAAAAGGCCAGCTGCACCCAAAGTAGACAAGAAACCCAAAATATACTGAAACTTTGTAACCCCTTTAGGCATGTCCTGGCTTGAACTCAAGGCCAAGAGAATGGAGCTTGAAGTGAGAAGAACTATGCAGTTCATGGATGGAAAGCTTATCTTTTGCTTCACCAAAACAAAGGAAAATATGGCATTGAAGGCTAATTGTGTGGATAAAAGGAGAGAAGCAGTAGTGACAGAGATATAAGAGATACCCCATGAATAGAGGAAGTTATTGATACCAATAAGGAGGCCAAGGCCAAAGCATGCATAGAGGAGTTTTGGGGTGAAGAGGGAGAAAGGCCTTGGGGAGTGGCCTGTGAGATGAGAGAGATAGATGGGCATGAGGAGTAAGGGGAACCCGATCGATTGCACCCAAGTTGAGAGCCATCTGCTTGAGCCACCATGCATGAAGTAGAACCTCGAGAGCATGCTTGCAGAGATGGAACCTAATACGAGGGCTGCACAGTTTGAAGCAAATAGGAGCCAGTACGAGAGGCCTGATCTTTTTATCTGTGCTTGAGTTGCCCTGCTTCCACTCTCCACCACCTCCTCCTGGTTTGGTAAGAGGATGTCCATTCTATTGTTTAGAGAGAGAGAGATGGGAAGTTCAGACAGGCACAAAGTCAAGGGGTTTAGAGAGGGGGATCAGAATTAGGATTTTAAAGAGAGTTGAAGTGCATATGAGAGAGAGAGGGATGTTGAAGAGTTTGAGAGAGGAGAGGGGGTAGAGAAGTAATTATGAAGAGGTTATTATGTTACCATCCATTTTAGGGTGTGTTAGGTAGGTGGTGGTTCGTGGGCTTGGGCGGGCGTTACTAAAAAGCGATCCGTTTTCAGACAAATGAGAGCGAGGGTTATGGTTTAAGAAGAGTGATAATTTTTAACTATCACTTAACCCGTCTCATGCCTAGATTAAAAAGATTGGGTCATAAAATTTTACAAAAACCGATCGACTTCAATTAATAGAAAAAAAACCATAGAACTAAGGGTTATGATTTAAAAAAGGCTGATAGCTTTTGACTTTCACTTTCACTTAAAAGGAGCTAGGTTGGGCTAGATACACAGCCTAACATAAAAGTTTAACAAAAAAAGCCAACTTACCACAATTGATTAAAAAAAGTATATGAGGATGATGGTTTGTGGGGTGGAGCAGAGAGTGTTTAAGCGTTCAAAAAACGTGCGTGAGAGATGAAGATTTTTATAGAGAGAGAGAGAGGAAACGATGAAGGTTTTTAACAGAGCGTTGTTATCTGTTTTTTAATGGGTGTAGGTGGAGGATTTAATGGTTTTGGAGGGGGATTAATTAGGGTAGTAAAAGGAAAAGGGAGGGTTTGGTGCATGGCATTGAGAGGTGGCACCTGCTGTTTTTGTATTTGCAGTGCCTATGGCCAACCTCCAAATGTTCACAAGGTTTTATTACATCTCTTTTGTCCATTTTTGGAGTTTACGTACTCGTGTTGGAATATATGCCTCTCTCTCTCTCTCTCTCTAACTTTGTATTTGAGGCAGCCCCCTCTTCTCTAACTGCTATTTCAGCCCGTCTCCTTTCTATTTTTTTTTGCGGTGTCCGTCTTGCAACACCCGAGGTGGGGCATGTCTTGTTGGGAAATGCTTCAATCCTTCTTCTTCTCTATTTCTAACTCCCCTCAATGATTTCCTGCTCCCACCGGACCATTATGTCCCTTTGTTCCTTTGCCTATAAACTTACTTGCAAATGGTGTTTTCCCCTCCAATTTTTTAACCAACCTTCACAACACAAAATTTTACATGGGCCCTGCCCCAGTCCGGATTGGGCCAAAAAGACAAAAGGATAAATACATAGGACTATGCCAAACTGGTCTTAGCCCCAAGACTCGGGCGGGCCGGGTGGTACCTAGCCCTGAATTTTTATAGCACGGATCCCAAAATTTCAGATAAAAAAAGCTTTTTCGAAAAGTAGCTCGGATTGCCCTATGGAGTAGTGTACAATATGCTCCCGTGGGCGGCAATTGGCTAGGACTAGGCTGGCCCAAGCCTGGTCCAAGACCTAGAGGGCTAGCCCAAGCCCTGATCAAGTCGAAGGGGCCCTAACACGTCTTGGTCCTACTCTTGAGCTAGGTAGCTCGACCCGCACTTGTTGATGGGGTCGGATCCATTATACGTTTCCTAATTTGCTTAAAAAATGAAGAAAGGCAGGGCTGAGCTGGGGCAGATAAAGACTATGGCCCCCAATTTAAGCCCAGGCCAAACACAGCCTTGACTTTGGGCTAGGGCCTGGCCCTCAGGACATTTCCAATGTAAAGGACTCTACTAAAAGCCATCAGAGAGAAAAACAGAAATTATATAGAACCGGTGGCTTTTCTAAAAATATCAATATTAAAAATGTCGAAATAAATTGGAATACGAAAATCTGGAAAATAAGAGGAGCAACAAATGAATTTCGGCTAGGACAAATATCTTCGCTTACTTAAGAATTAAGACAGGTCCTTGAAAAAATTTGGAATATTTTTCTACGCTGTTTCTATAGAGAATTATAATTATTCTTAAATTTAAATTAAAAAATACATAGGCTGAGCTTAAGAACAATGTAGATAATACAGTTACGGTGATAATAATTTATGAAAAGAAAAATAGAGAATATATATAGAAACTTAAATTTTTATGAATAAATATAAAAGGAAAACAATAACCTGTCCCTTTCACTTTATTTTATTTATGTTGTCTACAAGGAAAACATATACAGATTCTCTAGGAATTTTCTTAGAACAAATTTGTGCCCATGATTTTGAAAATTGTTGGAGAAAAAGTGGCATGAAATGTTCTCAAGATTTATGAGCAAGGTGGTTTGGCTGTTAGTCATCAAATTTCTAATAAATAATGGGTGATAGATGGGAAATTTAACAAAATACCCATAAAAGATGAATTATTTAACATTTTACTCATTTGCAACTATTCGAATCTTTTAATGGGTATTTTACAATTAAATAAAATATTAAATAACTCATATTTTATGAGTATTTTGATAAATTTTCAATAGTGATATTGATGAAAATTTCCTTGAGGCTTAAATTGTGTCATTGTTGCAGCAATATTAAGATATATATATATATAATTTTATTTATTTATTTATTATTATTATTTTTTTAATAATTCAGCCTAAACCTTAGCCATAGGTTAATACTGCACAGACATTAATATTGAGGTGAGAGCATGAAAAGACACTTTGTTTTTGATATTCATTACAAGATAGTGGGAAATCCATATTAATCAGTTTTGCTTTCAAAATCATAGGGGAAAATCACATCAATGCTCTTGTCTCTATTGTCACTTTCCTATCTATTTTGAGGCTACTATTTTGAGCCACACCCTAAACAAAACTATCAAAAGATGTATGCTACTTTTTAATAAATACATCTATTTATATTTAAGGTGCACCTCCAAAGTTTGTCACAACGTGTAATTTTAGTTTCAAACATTCTTGAGATTATCAAAATCTATTTTTATATCCAATTATAAAGTTTTAAACTTCAAAAATAATTAAAATCAAGTAGATCTATAAACATATGAAATTCTTAAAAATAGACGGTCTATATAATATTTTGCAAGATGTACTATTTTCGGTACTATTTTTTTTTCTTCATATTCATACGTCGATGGTTTTTTAACATTAAAACAACATTTTATTATGGATTTTTGAGGTGCATTTTTAATTCTACATTTTAAAGTTGCAACTTTATATAAACATTATGTTTCGACAAGCATCTCTTTTTTTTGCTTTATTAATCCCAAAAGGACAGTTACAAAAAAGCCTTTAGCAACATAAATGCAAATATAAAATAATCCAAATATTTTTTTTTTTACAAAAACATCATTTATTCCTCACGTAGAGCCGAACTTAACCGAACTTGTGCACCACATCTTGCCTGACCATCAGCCAAGGTATTTTTCTCTCTCCTCTTTGCTTTAGCACATATCCATTACTCCTCTCAATAAATCCAACAACTTCCAAAGAACATTTGTCTTCCCATTATACCATTTATTCTTTTTTTGAGCAATAAAAAGTTTACGTACTGTTGCAACTTTTTTTTAAAAAAAAAAAAAATAGTTCAACAGTACAGTAGGGATCCACAGTATACCTTGGACCATCATTCGCCCCAGGCCCCCTAGACTGCCAACACGCCTAAAAAATCCCAAACAAGTCCCTGCCCTAAGCTAATACCTAGGTGTAACCCATCTAATCAAGCTAAACCTTAGGTGCGCCTTTAGGATTTAACTAATGAAAATTGTTTTATACGGGTTGGACCACATTTCTACTATATGCGGTCAATAGGTATAAAGTAACCATCCGAAAGATGGATGTAAATAGATGGTCTATCTAAAAACAAGTATAACTAACTGTTCAAATCAATGGTTTAAAAAAAGGATCGGTGACTCAGATCGGGCTTCCAAAAAATCGATCTGGATCGACGAATCGGCGATCTCGATGGAGAATCGGGTGAATCGGTCAGAATAAAGCTTAAAAAAAATTCAAAAAAATTATTAAAATTCATTATAAATATTGTTTTTTAGGAATTCAATAAGAAATGAGGGTACTCCATTAAGAATTTTCATGTTTTTGAATGACTATGCAAATATTGATATGTTCTTTCCCTGCATGAACCGCCATTCAGCATTTAATTTACATCACACAAAAGGATAAACATATAATTATCATGGAATAAGTATATCAACATACATGGACTACGAGAAAGCATAAAATTAGTAACATATGATCTAAAAATAAAATGATAGACGACGTTATTGTTCTTCTTGGTCACGCTGGTGCCATTGATTGAATTCGTTTAACAATTCATTGATTTGATCTAAAAACGAATCATCGATATTAGCAGGCGTCTGACTATTCCCAAATCCCTGAGTGTTAGTGTTTTGTTGTGTTCCTAATCTAAAATCCCCGAAGATTGTCCATCCTTCATGCTCACTTGCACTGTCGTACTCATCCCTACACTGTTGCTGTTGAGACTCGATATGTGAATAATATGGCTGGGATAGGGTGGCCTCAGAATCATCATCTCTCTCATTTTCTCTTTGAATAATATGGATTAAAAAAAACAAAAAAACAAATTTTCAATAAAATCGATCATGGATTTAAAAAAAAAATCAC